GGCCACCCAAGTTCTGGGCTCATGGCTGAAGGTGACATGTGCGTCTATTAATTGGGTAACTGGATACATCAGATTTAATGTTAGTTTAAAAAAATGCTGTCAATTCTTCTTTTAAAATGTCTTGTCTACTGGTCCATTCCCTCTCTTCCCACTGCCATCAGTCAGATGCTTTGAGCTTCTATTTCCACAACTGGAGCGGCCTCTTAAAGTGCCTCCCTGCCTCAAATTGTTTGATTTAATTCAACTAGTGATTTTGGAGAACGAGACACGGGGCAGGCCTCGGCGGCTTCTCTGCTGGGCCTTCAACCTTTCCCTCTTCCTGTTCATTCTACACAGTGACCCAGGAGTATACCTTAAAGTCTAGTTTTCATCATACCACCCACTCCCCAGCTCAAAAACCTCCGAAAGGCTCTCCAGTGCCACGGGAATAAAATCTAAATGCTCACATGCCCTACCTGGTGAACGCTCTCTCTCAATACACCCCAAGACGGACCCGCCACCCCAGCTCGGCCTCCTTGTCACCGGCCCGAAGCATGGCCACCTCTGAGCCTTTGTGCAGGTCTTCTTTTCTGGAATGTTCTTTCCTCATTCTCTATAAAAGTCCTTCATGCTTTAAGGGTGGGCTCAAGTTTCAGGCTCTCCTGGAATCCTTCTATCAGACTGTGCTGAACTGCAAGTATTACACCCAACAGTAGTTATTCTGGTGCTCTATTTTTGGATATTTAAAATGTATATTCATATCCGCATATATATATCATATACATATACATTGAACCCTCATGTATTTGTACCCACTTCGACACCTAGCAGAGTATTCTGCCTAGAGTTAGATGTGCTGAATAAATACGTACTATATGCAGGAGTTTGTTTTTCAACACTTAATCTTTCTCAAGGGAAATCTGGCATCTAAGTCTTAAAACGTACATAGCCCTTAAAAACGTACATAATTTATTTCTAGAATTAGAACTAGCAATTCTCATACCAGGAATAAGTGAGGGAGAACTCAGAGATGCTTATAAAAATACATGCACACTGTTGAGATGTTGCGTTTTTTACAATAAGGAAGACGGAAACCTCTTAAGGGGTCCATCATGTAAATCGGGATCCCCGCCACGTAGCTAACAAAATCGCATTGTGGGATATTTACTAACATGAGAACCAGTTCATAAGTCATCACTGAGAGCAAAAAGCAGGTGATAAAAGAAAATGTACAGTAGTATTTGACTTTTATTAGATAAATGATAGATGGACAGTGGTTATGTCTTAGAGGGAGGCTTACAAGGGCTTTTTTTCCTTTGTGGTTTTCTATGCATTTAAATTTGGGGGCACTAAAGTGTTACTAATGTGTTGAACGGTTCCTTTAGAAGGAAATTTGCTCTTCTGAACCACAAACCCTGACTTGGATGGATGTGTACATTGATAGAGGAGCTTGACACAAACTTATATTTGAATTGTAACCTAGTAAAACTCAGTGCCATGTGAGAGACATCCTGCCACCGTGGAAACAACATTCATTGAACCAGGACCTGGGAAACACAGGGTCTAACAGTGGCTCTCCTGCAGAATTCCTGCCAGCCCTGGAAAAGTCACTTATTTTCTTGAACCTCAGGTTTTTAATGACAAAACAGGTGAATATTCTTTCATCCCCATCCCATCTTACAAAAGTATATAGAGATCAATTAGAGACTATTTATAAAAATGGCAAACATATTGTAAAAAAGGCAGTCGATCAGTATCAGGTGAGATTACTATCAAGGTTGGAGAAACACCCCTCTGAAATCTTGAATCTCTGATTACACCACAACCTTCAATCACAAAGTCATGACCGATTCGTGTGCTAATGTGCGGTGAAGTGCAATTTCACTAAATGCTCAATTTAATAACTGTGGGTGCATTTGTTAAATAACACTTGAACAATGAAAATATAAAATCATTTCAGGTTATTACAAGATACTGAATATAGTCCCCTGTGCTATATACAGTAAATCTTTGTCATGTATCTATTTCGCATATAGTAGTTTGTATCTGTTAATCCCGATTATAATCTGAAAGAAATATATAACTGAGTCACTTTGCTGTATATCTGAAACTAACACAATATTGTAAATCAACTATATTTCAATTTTTAAAAAGTTATTTTAGGACAACATTCCTCAGCTTGCTCTTCTCTAAAAGCATTTCCCACAATACTCTGCAAATTACTGTCTTTGCTTCCCCGCCCCCCCCCCCAACAAAGAGAACAGCACAGACATAAATTTTGATGGAAGAAATACACTGGGCTTCAGATGAATTATTTAACGACAAAATATTTAAAGCTTTGGCAAACTCATTATGAAGGGAGCAGGCGCTACGCTTTATCTCTGCAAAGATTTTGATGGTGAATCTAACTCACCTACATGGGCAAGTAATCTTTACTTAGCCACATAAATGCCAATGTACACGTTTACAAACGCACACAACTGCAGCCTCTTAGCCTATGTCTGGCAGGTGTATATCGCATGCTTCTGGACACGAACACACAAACCCAGGTCACGACGGCATGTACCAAGACACACACAGAAACCCTCAAATGTCCCACAGAGCGACCCGGCCAAAGAGGTGCATCGGGCCCCAGAGAAAAAGAAAAAGCACAAGAAAGGATCCCTTGAAGGGAAGGCACGGCTGCGGGTCCCCAGAAGACACCTTGACTCACCTGTTAAGTGGTTGGCAATCCTGGCAGTGGGTTTGGGAGGCAGGGCAGGGGGCTGCTTGAGGAGAGACAGCTGCTTCACTGGGGTCTCCGCATGGTCTCCAGGGAAAGCAGCAGGTTTTTTGGGGGGCAGGAGCAGGACGGATTTGGCTGAAGGATCTTGGGGCAGGACTCCAGACTCACTGGCAGAGGGACTCTCTTCAGACACTGAGGGGACAACCACATGACACACAGCGACATTACACAAACGCAGAGCAGGTGCGGCCGGCGGAAGCCGGGGGGCACACAGGACAGGCTTAGCGACACAGCAGAGCACCGACTGACCCAGGCTGTCAAAGTGGGGTGTTAAAGAGAGGATGCCAGGAATCCAATAAAGCCATGGTGAGGGTGGGGGAAGCAGCAGGGAGGGAGAGACAGAAAACAGAGAGAGCTGGAAGGATGCAGAGGGGGAAGGAGGAAAAGGACACTTCCTCAAACCATCCAAAGCTTCATCCCTTCAACCTCGGTGTTTATAATGCAAATTCTACGGGTGCTCCAAGATGTGACTCATGGCACCACTGCGACAACCGACAGACGGCAGGTGTAGTGGATCAAGGACCAGGAGCCCCCTCTGAACCACACCAGCACCAAACGCCGGCATCTTCCTTTGGGCCTATTTGCCCTTTGCTGGGAAGGAATTGAGAATGCATTCCAGGGTCTTGTTTTTGCCTGCTGGGTCTCCTTGTGTCCCTGCTCCCCGGGTGTGAGGACAGCCTAGAGGCTGACACTGGGCAGGTGATCCCCACATGCCTGTGGCAGCGGCTGCTCCTCCAGGTTTGGGGCCATCCGAGCTGGGCAGCAGCATCCAGGGGGTGCTCTGCAGTTTTAGGGGCACCTTCCTGCCCCTGCCAGCTCCGATACACCTGGATGAGGTGAAGGATGCTCCAAATCAACACCCTTTTCACTTTCCACCTTCCTTTCTCCTGCACTCGCCAGACGCATGGTTTTCTGGTTTTGATTCTGCCCATTTCTCATTGCTCTGCCCCGGGCCTGCTTTTTCCTCTCCCGCATGGCGGGGCGGGCGGAGGGCGGGGGGACCAGGACCGGCTCCAGTTAAGAGCTGTCACGGGTGGTAGCACAGGCTCTCCTACCATGCTGGCAACCCGGCCAATGACAAAATGAGACTGTGCGACTTCCCCGGGATGACAGGTCTCACTACAGCAAATCACATCCATCTGATCCCAATGTCACAAGGAAGGCTGGGAAGAAGTCTCAACTGACCGCTTTAGCTGGAACGATCTCCCCAGCTTGGGGAGGAGGAGGGAAATGCAACTCAGATGCATATCTCCCCCCCCACCCCCATCACTGCTACAGGAAGAAAGCCTCCCCTGCCCTCTACCTTCTCCCCACTCTGGGTAGCAGTGTTTCCGGCAGTCAAAGCCCTGTACACAATCCTCAGGAGAACCAGGTTCTCCCCTGTCTCAGGGGACACTGTTATCATCAGTGCTGGACACACCAATGGAGCAGCGACTCGCTGGGTCCCGAAGTGAAGCATGGCGCTGACCCTGAAACGCCATCCTGCTCGCCTCCCGTCTGAGTTCCGTGACGCAGACTTTGCACACGGTGCGGGGGAGGCCATGGCCTCCTTCCCAGACTCCAGATATTCCCAGAGGCCCCACCCCCCCAGGCTTGTCTCCTGACAGCAAGGACCTCTCCTTACTGGCTGTCGGGAGGGTGCCGTCTTTTGACTAATGAGGACCACTCTGCAAACCTTGCGAGGGAGTGAGGATCGGCCACTCAGAGGGCTTCGGACCAAAGAGGGAGTGACAGGCGGCATCAAAATGATCTGTCAGCAGGATACCGGTAAATTGTAGACAATTAACACATTAATTGATTTTATATAGTAAATTGGTACAATTTACTAAACTGATATAACTATTAACTGGTATATTGGGATTAGGATTCAAAGGCATACCAGGGCCTTGTGACCAGGTGGACTTAGACAGGTACCCTACAGAAGCACAGGACTCTCTAGCTTTATCTTAAATGAGGGTTAGAAAACAGACATTTTAAATCATCAGTATTACAAGACAAGACATATCTTCTCTAAAGAGATTAAGATTATAAAAGTGTTTTTAAAGACTGTAGAAAAATAAATGGACACATCCTCCATATTTTTACACTCAGCATGTACTACCTGGTCACTTTCATCCCCATTTCCAGGAGATCCTTATGTTCAGGGTGGTTCAAAATAGAAGCCAAAGTCCAGCCAGGCTGAAGGCCCCTAACACCGCATGCTGGGGACCAGTTCCATGTCTACCAGGGGCATTACCTGTCCCATCCATGATGTCGGAAGGTTGGAGCACCTCGTATGAGCAGGGATCCCTGGGCATCGGGACTGGCTCCATCTCGGACAGGGCGGGCAGAGATAGCTGGCTGGAGCTCAGGGACTGCCCGTTTTCCAGGGAGTCATCTTCATTCGATATGGAGAGCTCCCCGTCTGTCAGAGCGAGGAGATCGCAGAGTTAGACCACGCCTGCCTTCCAGGCAAGGGTGACACTTACAGCCTGCTACATGAGTCTAGATGCTTTTGTACAATCTGTATCAAGGCCAGTATGGAAAGTCTACACTTGTTCTTTTGCTTTTAAGGCATCTAACCACCAGGGCGACAATTTCCAGTGATCTTCAGCAATATGCCTGTTTTCTCTCCATTCTAACTATCGACAGATGAATGGATAAAGAAGATATGGTACATATATACAACGCAATATTACTCAATCGTAAAAAAGAATGAAATAATGCCATTTGCAGCAACATGGATGGACCTAGAGATTATCGTACTAAGTGAAGTAAGTCAGACAGAGAAAGGCAAATATGATACTGCTTATATGTAAAATCTAAAAAAAAAGCTATGAATGAACTTATTTACAGAGACTCACAGACACAGAACACAAACTTGTGGTTACCAAAGGGGAAAGGGGGTGGGGAGGGATAAATCAGGATTTATATATACACACTACCACATATAAAGTAGATAGACAACAAGCACCTACTGTATAGTGCAGGGAACTAGTCTCAATATTTTGTAATAACCTATAAGGGAAAAGAATCTGAAAAAGAATATATATGTGTGTGTGTATATATGTGTACATACATATATAAAAACGTGTGTACACATATATGTGTGTACACACATATATAAGAATATATATGTGTGTGTGTGTATATATACACACACACACAAACACACATATATATGTATAATTGAATCACTGTGCTGTACACACCCGAAACTAACATGATATCGTAAATCAACTCTACTCCAATTTTTACAAATTTAAAACTTTGTAAAAATCATTATCTACCATATTTTCTATGTGTTTTTTAAATGAAAATGAAAATAAATTTTTCCTCATAATTTTTGAAAACTTGGAAAACCTGAGCAGGACTCAGAGATTGGAAAAGCAGGTCAGGAATTCCTACTTCGAAGAGCAAAGGGCTTCAAGCACTCAACAAGCACCAGGACACGCTACCCCAAGGCCCTAGGAAAAACTCACCCTGTCTTCTCTTTATCTCTGCGCACATCCAATTTCTCTAAATGTTTAGGAGGGCTCTAAGCTCCAGCCGAGGGGCTGCAGCAGCTCAAAGACCCTGGGAGATGCCAGGATTCTCCCAGTGCCCACCAGTGATCCTGCCGGGCGGGGTGCAGACTTTGACCTCGCTCAAAGAGGGGCAGCTAGTTAACACCATGGTGGAGGATCACAGGCTCCCGCACAATGGCCGTTTGTCAAATCAAAATTCCCCCTGTGTGATTTCATCCTAGCCCAGGGGAGTCCTAGATAACTAGACATTAAAGTCAGATTAATTTTTAAAGAGGACTGAAAGCTATTCCAGTCAGATGAATAAATATCCAGACGAAAGACTCTAAGTTATGCTTCGGTAGAAACACAGAAGCCAGCAAAGCAATAACCTGCCTTAAAATGGGAAGATGGATAATTTACTTGTAGAAATAAAACAGTAAAATGACTCCAGGGTTAATCTTGGATAAATAATCCTTTCCTTTTGCTATGTTCCTCCCAAGGCTTTAATTTTATACACAGTGATAAGAAGGCTGCAAAAGATTCCTCTGCCCACCCCCTTTGCCCCCAATTAGAATTGGCCTGATGAAATGTATGTTCAACAGAGCAATTTACAAACCAACAGGCTTTAGATAGCATATGGCTCAAGGACATATGATATTTGACCTGAATTTTTTTTTTTTTTTTTGCTTGTGTTGCGTATTCTGTGTTTTGTCAGAGCCAATCACTGCCGTTATTTTCCTCCTTTAAGTTGAAATTTAAGGAAGAAAGAGGATTCAAGAGCACAGAACTTTATAATTCAAAAGTAGCCACAATTTTATTCAAACTCCAGGGGGTCTTTTTTTTTTCTCTCTCTCTCCATAGGATAGTGGCCGAAGCATCCAAGAACCTCATGTCCACACAAAGCCTGGGGATTGTATTCCCGTGTCCCCTGCATCGGCAGGCGGACTCTCAGCCACTGCGCCACCAGGGAAGCCCTGACCTGAATTTTTTATAAACACAGAAAAAATATACATATAATGGACACCAAAAAGTCATCTGAAGCAGACAATATAAAGCACTGACTCTTGAAGATTGTGGGGTTTTTTCCCTTCTTTTCACTTGGCCTTTTTATGCGCCTCAAATGGTAATAGGAGTCACGATAACTGTGATTAACAATATGACTACTTATTAATAAGAGAAGAGCAGTGCAGACTCTCAGGCCAATGCTATGGAAAGTACACAGCTGAACTGAGCATACCCAGGACGGGAAGGGCTGTGGGTGTGAGCGTTAGTGCATCAGCATCGCACACTGGATGGTCCCCGGTCCTCTTAACATGCTTTGGTTTAGCTTTGTTCAAACTGACACCATGGGAAGCAGCTCTTCTTCAAATTCCCAGTTGGTGGAATAATGACGTAGCTGCCATTAGGTTTAATACATCTCTGGGAAACCGCTTTGATGTTTGATGTTCCAAGTGTAGTAAAAGTCTTGGATAAGACAACCAGAGGAGGAAGGGGTTTCAGGGCTGTTGCCATGTTCTGCTTCTTTGGGGCAAAGATGTGATGGAATGATTGCTATACATTTTAACTGTTAAAAGTACCATAGATGCAAAAAAAATATTAGGGAAAAAAAGATACAGCAGAAGTTGAATTACGTTAGATTCTATGAATCTCTGTTTCATCAAGGCAGTTAGCTTAAGTGCTAGAAGTTTTGGTGGTAACAGAGAAGCAATATTACTCACTCCTCTTGGGACTGATTAACTCTTAAAAAATGTTGCTCCCTATGGATTAAAAGTGCCTTTACTAAATCACAAAGGCTCAAACCACTTGGGAGAGGAAACGATCTTGCGAATTCCACTGTCATAATTTCTAAATACACATTTCCATTAAAAAAATGAAAATAGGAGGAAAAAAGAAGAAATAAGACACTGATCATATCTCTACCCTAACAGAAAATTTGTTTTTCAATATTCTCCATAGTTGTAACAAATTTTATTTTGTGTTTTGTTTTTTTAAAACTTGTATAAGCATTATAATTTGTATAGTTATCATTTAATAATTATACTGAATGAATATACATATGTTTATTTAGTTATCTCTCTGTGGTTGGTCACAAAGGGATTTCCAGTGTTTTATACTATCATGAAAACAGAAATCTCTGCTGACTACCTTCCTGTATAAAATCTTTTCTGCAATTAGAATTCTCCCCCTTTAGGAGAGATTCCAGTAAATGAAATTTATGCGTATTACTATTTTAATGTCTAGTCACACATACCTAGATCTTGTGAAACTGTTTTTCTACAGGGTTTGTCGATTTACACAGCAGCAATATACAGACCCACAAATTTCTTAGCTTTTGGTCATTTCCTCAACATTTACATTGATAACCATGCTTTATCTATTGACCTACCTACTTACATACATATATGTATATACACATCTAGCAGAAATAAACGAAAACCATGCAATAGGTACAAATTTATTATTAATATCATTTATGACTAACTAAGATGGGAAGTGACAAAACTGAAATCTGATTTGGATTCATATAACACGGAGATAAAATGACGCTGCTACTGTCAAGTAACTGTTATTTTAAAATTCTTATGACATTTTCAAATGTCCACAAAAGTAGAAGCATTAATGTAATGGACTCCTTATACTCATCACCAAGCTAAGGAATTAGCTGGGAATTCCTAATGCTTGGTAATTCCAAGTTTGATTAATCTGAAGACTATTTCTTTAATTGACATATAGTTGATTTACAACGCTGTGTTAATTTCTACTGTACAGCAAAGTGATTCACTTTTACATATATATACACATCCTTTTACATACTGTTCTCCATTATGGTTTATCACAGGATACTGAATATAGTTCCCTGTGCTACACAGTAGGACCTTGTTGTTTACCCATTCTATATAAAATAGTTTGCATCTCTAAGACTGTTTAGGCTCTCCATGTCTTTTTACTATTTGCCAGCTCTGTTTATCAGCATCATGAGAAAACTGTGTTTTCCCCCCAGGAAGAATTTAACCCTCCTGAATAAAATGAGTCTTACGGATTATTTGTACTTTCATCTATCTAGATCATCACCATCTCTTGCTATGATGACCGAGAAAGAGCTCACTGAGTACTGGAAATTATTTTGATGTTTTACATGATCTAAAATTATCTGGAATAGGGCTTCCCTGGTGGCGCAGTGGTTGAGAGCCCGCCTGCCGATGCAGGGGACGCGGGTTCGTGCCTCGGTCCGGGAAAATCCCACATGCCGCGGAGCAGCTGGGCCCGTGAGCCATGGCCGCTGAGCCTGCGCGTCTGGAGCCTGTGCTCCGCAACAGGAGAGGCCACAACAGTGAGAGGCCCG